CCTGTATAAACCAAAACCCCTAAAGCGTACGTCCTCGAGTAGGGTCTCCTTCAGCTCTGCATCTGGAGCAACTGTCAGGGTTTAGGGTTTAGGGTTTAGGGTTTAGGGTTTAGGGTTTAGGGTTTAGGGTTTAGGGTTTAGGGTTTAGGGTTTAGGGTTTAGGGTTTAGGGTTTCGAAGCTTGCCGCATAGCTGGTTCAAGGTTTAAGGTTTGGGCTTATTCATCGGAGCTTGAATAACGCATCCCGGGTCTACAATTTGGGGATTTAGGGTTTAGCTAGTAGTAGGTGACGTAGATTTCAAGCTTGGGGAGCATATGATGGTTTGGTACTTGGACCGGTAGAGTTATAGTTATTTAAACGTTTCCAAAAATCAGAGAAATCATGGTTTTCGCCATGCGTCCTCTTGAAGCTAAAGTTAAGTTGAACTAAGTGCCCGGTACAGAACCCAGGCAGGCCGAATGCCTCACACAACAAAATCACAAATCAACTCCAAACCGCATCCGCTCAAGAGTTTAGGGTTCAGGGTTTAGGGTTTTGGGGCTTCGTTACAAATATACTTCTCGAATTCGGCTACTTGGCGAGTAAGCGGTTAGAAGCTGTTGGAAGTAATCAGAAGGTGGCAAGCATGATGTCTACTTGTGGGTCTCGAATTACACGTATAATGAACTGCAGAAAGTTGGAGCGTGGATTTAGGATGATTCGTGCTGGGATTCCCCCCCTCTGCTTTACCTCTGGGACATGAGGGTAATGATGTTCTAGCTTTTCTGGCTTCTACCGTACATACAGTTTAAATATACATCTTAGTTACCACGTCTCCTGATACTCCAAGTATACTGGTAGGATACCCTTCCCGGAGCTCCAACCATTTCTATATACTCAATGTGTCTGGGCTGTGTTACACCAGTGATAGGGGTAGAAGCGGAAACCGCAAGAACTTGAACATTACAATCATTTACTATTGTGGGGTGCGGGAGTGGTGGGTTTAGCTTACTTTGAGGTTCATCAGTAGCTAGAAGTAGGGTCAGAGGTAGGGTAGTGTCCATACTTACAACTTATAACCTACATTACTTGGAGGTTCATGGGTAGTTGTAAGTAGGGTTATAAGTAGGATAACTATAGATATAAGCTATATTAGGGGACTTATAACTCCACTTATAACTAGCCATGAACCGCCAAGTAAGGGACTCAGAACTCCACTTACACCTTACAACTGCCCATGAACCTCTAAGTAAGGGCTGGGCTAGCAAGCTTCAGACTCCAACACCCCTTAAGTAAAGAATATACCTTAGATTCTAGTAGGATCCTGAATATGATTTAAGATATATTCCTTAATTAAGGGATATTGGAGTCTGTGGGCCCTAAACCCTAAACCCTAAACCCCAAACCCTAAACCCTGAGCCCTAACCCTAAACCCTAAACCCTAAACTCTAAATCCTAAACCCTAAACCCTAAACCCTAACCCTAAACCCTAAACCCATTCAATTCTCTGGGCAGGTCCAGTCGGCCGCCCAGTCCTGCGACAGACACTCGGCCGCGGCTTTGAAAAAGGGAACGTCACATGGGCAGTTCTCTAAACTAGGGCCACTTTAGGCTAGGGTCCCTTTTTATAAGGGTGCCGTACTATATTGGGGATGAAAAAAGGGGCCCTAATTTGGGGAACTACCCACATGCCGCTCAAGAGATTACCAGCGTGAGGGTTTAATGGCCCAGGGCTGAGGGCTTTTCATCTAAACCCTAAACCCTAAACCCTAAACCCTGAACCCTGAACCCCGAACCCTAAACCCTAAAGCCTACAAAAACCTTCAGTGTTTTGCAGGTGTAAGAAAAGCTTCAGGGCGTGGCCTTTTGTAGAGGTCCAGAGGACAGTGTACGAGTAAAGGAATTAGTCCTTGAGTGTTTCGGGGTTTTACACTACGGGTTTCGAGGCTTTCAGGGTTGGAGGGTCGTAGAGTTTGTAAAAGGATTTAGGGTTTAGGGTTTAGGGTCTATAGGGTTAATTCCCTAAACCCTAAACCCTAAACCCTGTAAGGCTTGTTCCGGGCCTACCGGGTTTAGGCTGTGAGGGTTGCCTCTAAACCCTGAAGCCCGAACCTGAAACTCTAAGCACCTGGTTCGAAACCTCAAATCCGAAATCCTAGCTCTCAAAACCCCAAGCCCTAAGGGTTTAGGGTTTAGGGTTTAGGGTTTAGGTTTAGGGTTCCAAGCCCTACAGTAAATCCCAAACCCTTGGATTTTGGCAAGGTGCTGGCTGAAAAAACTCTAGCAGAGACAAGCGAAGGTGGGTAAGATGTTGGCGAAGGACAGGAAAAGAACGCAGTGGGAACTCTGCCTCACATATTGAAACACTCCTGCAGCTAGCGAAGGCTATGTCGTGGTGGATTGTGTGCCAGCTCCACGAGTGTTTGCAATGGCGGTGCCCTGGACAAAACCGGAACATAGGTTATGCAACAAAGTGGCACATCTCTTGCCATCATCACGGATCCAAATAACCGGAAGGTCACAAAGGATCTATAAGGCCAACCATTGGGGTGCTGAGAGGTTCCACGGGTTGCGGTTTGGTCTTAGAGCTTGTAGGGCTCTCTTGTTATAGGCTCCGTAAAAACAAGCATGAGGCCAAACTCAAGACTTTAGATGTAGATAAGAGCGTAATGGTCCGTACAAGAGCACCAAACCCTCAACCGCAAAGCCCCAGCCCAAGCCCGTCCGATTTCTAGACAGTTTCTTAGCACACCCTATAAGGGTCCATGTACCCAAATAGTATATACTTGGGCCTCAATGTAGTCCCTAGATGGGCACTTTAGGGCCAATGTTCTACTATTTGGGCACATGGACCCTGAGGGACAGGTGCATGCTCCACGTTTAACGATGTTAACGGTAGGGCTTTAGACTCGAAGCCCTACCGACTTAGACTGGTAATCTGGTCCTGTTGTCTGTCGCATGCTGTCTGTTTGGCTTGCCCCGATGCTGAACATAGCCCAATAGCCTGTCATAGTTGTAACATAGAGCGGTTTTCAGGCCCAACTGCCTTAAAACCATTAGTCCCTAACCCTAATTCTAAACCCTGAACCCATAAACCCATAAATTACAAACCCCAAACCCTTGAGAGCCTTTGGGTTCGGATTTTTGCAGTCTGTTTTTGTTTACGGAATCGGGCTGACTTCTCGGCTGCGTATCATGTGACCCGGGCTGATTCAAAAAGAGACATTTATGCGTCAACCCTAAACCCCTCAACCCTAAACCCCCCCTAAGCCCCTACACTCTACACCCCCTACGCCCCTAAACCCCTAAACCCTTGTTCTTGGGGTCAGGGAGCTTTCGTTCGGGCGTTACAGAGCTTTGGGGGTCTTTCTAGGCTTTCAGTGTTGGGAACATAATCACAAGCAGCCAAACGTTACTGTAGGGGTTTCTATAAATGGTTAAGATCAGGGTTACCACAAGGGCGATGGTCAGGGTTCCGAAAAAAGGGTTCCTGTTGGTGGGATGGTATGGGATACCTTTGTCCAGTGTGCTTGCAGCCAAATTCGAATCCCTGCCTGGAAGGATCTAAGAACACATGTCTGGGTCCATGTTGGATACAAGTTTACATTTTGTTATACTAAAACCCAATAAGGATTAAGAATGATCATTCTTAATATAGCCCCAAGAGGGAACCAGATATGTTTTCAAGGCTTCGGGTCCAAAGATCCCATTAGACAGTTGTGTAAGGGTTTAGGGTTTAGGGTTTGTGTAAGGTTTTTTGGGCGATCTTGTGCCTAAGGGCTACGCATTGCGAACGATTTCCTGCGGCCGTGCTGCTCAGGCTTTTTGTTTTTTGCATGGGGCGGCCATGGCGACATGATGATTTCCATCTTGCGTAGTGTCATGTTTATAGAATACCCAGACTTCTTAATTAAAGCATATACTGGCATAGACCTTAAATTATAATTGGAGCCGAGTACTTGGTCAGGATTTGTCGCTGAATCGCTAGCGCCACTACTCTCGACCCAACAGCCCAGAGCAACACGCTTCTTTTCGCGAGGCGCCAAGAAGATGTCTAAATGCGTACGCACCTTTGGCATCCCAGTGAGCCAGCTAGAAGGGCCCTTAAATCGCGACAAAACTGGGTCAGAGTTGCCAGGTTTTCCAGCCGTGGGTAACCCAGACCATACCGTAGACCGAAACCTCTAGCAAGAGCAACGCACCAAGAAAGACGCTACCGACCCAGTGGACACAGAACAGCTCTGAGCTGCTTCCGGGGTGGAGGCCGGGAAGCAGACTCCACGTGACTGGGTTCTTTTACTGGGGACCCAAAAAGAACAAAAGCAGAGGCATGTTATAGGGATATCCCTACCTTATTCGGCTTCATTGTAAGGGGGTTTATGTGGGATATCCCTATCCCAATTGTTGCTTATGTGCTTTTTT